ATGTATTCACTGTTTTTATTTGATTTCAAGAGAACAGACGACAATCTTTCTTTTTGTTTCTTCTTGACTCTTGCGTTTCTATTTTTCTTTCATTGCACTTTCCATTTCTTTCTTTCTTTCTTTCTTTCTTTCTTTCTTTTCTTTTCTTTTCTTTTCTTTTCTTTCTTTCTTTCTTTTCTTTTCTTTTCTTTTCTTTTCTTTTCTTTATTTCTTTCTAAACGTTCGTTCATTCATCATTTCTACCCATCCTTTCTCTCTCTCTCTTTCTTTCTTTCTTTCTTTCTTATTAATCTTTCTTTCAATTCTTTCTTTCGTTTTCACATTCTACTGATATTGCGTACATTCTCTCTTTCTAATCGTGTTTTCGTCCTTTCTTTCTTTTCTTTTTCCTTTCTCTTTCTATTTTCTCTTACTCTATCCTCTCTTACTTTTGTTTATTTGTCTTCTTCTTTCTTGCTTCTTTCTTTCTTTTTTCTTTCCTTCTCATTCAATATTTTTTCTTTTATTCTCTACTTTCGTCTTTCATTTTCATCCGCCATTTTTAGACCATCATTTTTCTTTCTTTCTTTCTTTCTTTCTTTCTTTCTTTCTTTCTTTCTTTCTTTCTGTCAGCTTGGCGTACCCCCCCCCCATCTTTCAAACCAGTACGGTCCACAACTTGATTTTACGACTTTCAATACAAACCCAAATTTTATTCTCTTTCGTTTTCTCTCGGCTCCTTCATTTCTTTTACTTTTTCCCATCCTGACATCCGTTTCCGGTTCTAGCATAAGTCTTCTGTATTTTACAGTGAATTGAACGACCACAATAAGCTTATTTCGAGTCGGGTCGTAGCAAATTATACGTTGAGTGAATAAATTTGGCCTGGGGTGATTTGATTTAGTTCGAATCAGACGAAGTTTGATTAAAACGTGAAGAAAATATTTTGAACATCTTATGAATGGTTGGCATCATTTTTAAGGAATAAAGGTTTTACAAAGAAACAAGTGAAAGAAAAAAATAATGGTAAGTTTTTGGTAAGTGAGGAATTACGGCAGCAAGCAGGTGAATAGATTGAAGAAAGATAAAGAAAGTGGAGGAGTGTAAAGAGATTTGAGGAAGACAAGAATTTAGAAAGAAAAAGAAAACATGAATGACGAGGAGATCATCATGAATGAAAGAGAATAATTATGTAAAAAGAAAGAAAGAATGAAGAAAGAAAAGTTGGGTGGGGAATAAGATAGAAAGAAGAAAAAACGCAAGCAAGGAATAAGAATTAAACGAGGTAGATAGATAGATAGATAGATAGATAGATAGATAGATAGATAGATAGATAGATAGATAGATATGAACAGACTGAGGTAGATAGATAGATATGAACAGACTGAGATAGATAGATAGATAGATAGATAGATAGATAGATAGATAGATAGATAGATAGATGAAAAGACTGAGGTAGATAGATAGATATGAACAGACTGAGATAGATAGATAGATAGATAGATAGATAGATAGATAGATAGATAGATAGATAGATATGAACAGACTGGGGTAGATAGAAAGATAAGAACAGACTGAGATAGATAGATAGATAGATAGATAGATAGATAGATAGATAGATAGATAGATAGATAGATAGATAGATAGAAAATGGCAAAAATAACAGAAAGAAAGAAAGAAAGTACATAACACGAGAAAAATGAAAAAATCAGGTAAGGAATGAAAATTACATAAAAATGAAAAAAAAGAAAATTATCATGCAGGATATGAAAGAAAGAAAGAAAGACAAAAAGAAAGAAAGAAAGAAAGAAAGAAAGAAGAAAGAAAGAAAGAATGTACGAAAAAGAAATAACGAAATAATGCAATAATGCATGGAAAGAAAGAAAGAAAGAAAGAAAGAAAGAAAGAAAGAAAGAAAGAAAGAAAGAACTAGCAGAAAATAAAATAGGAAAGACCGAAAAAGAAAATCATGAAAGAAAATAATTAATAAGAAAGAAACAAATCGACCAAAAATCAAATAAATTTAAAACGAGATACAAGAAAATAATAATAATAATAATAATAATAAAATAACAACAACAACAACAACAATAATAATGGAGCAACAAAAAGAAACAACAGTTGAAAAGAAAGAAAATAGATTTGCAAAAAATGTATTACAAAAGACATCTTAATAAAAGAGAAAAGACGAGCAAAGACGAGAAAAAACGCGAAAATGAAAGTGAAAGAAGGAAAAACGATAGAAAATAATAATAGATAAAAGAAAGGTAAAACTAAACAAAGCAATAAAAAAAAGAAACGTTCCATTACCACCAAGAAGAAGAAGATATAAGAGAATATAAAAAGAGAACATTTATCTCTTTCATCTACGTAAATGGAAATTATCTCCACTTCTCATTGACCTCTGATCAGTGACGTGTTATTACAAAAGATTACAATCTTTTATTTTACTTATTATTTTCACCATGACAAAATAAATCAAAAAACATGGCGGCGATGGAAAAGAGAAGAGCCTCGAGCAATTTAAACCTTATTGCACCATAACAAGCTCGTTCCATTCTAATATATCTCCCCACCGACTTTTTTCTCGCTTTTCTTATTTTATATTCTGTCTATTTCTAATAATTATTGTCTATTACTCAAAATGAGATTATTTTAGATTTTTTTAAAAACTTTTTGATTGCATCTTTAAATTTTCTAGTTAGCTATTTGTGTCGACATTTTCCGTGTATTGACGAGGTTGAGAGTTGTCAAAAACATCTTCGGTGTTGTTTTTTTTTTTCTTTTTCTCTTTACTTTTGCTTGCTGACAGAACTGACTAGTTTTATATATTATTTTAGATATTTAATATATCGTATATACTTGAGTATAGTATAGGTTTATGATCAGATTTTTTTACGTAATAAATATGGGGTCGACCTATAGACATGTAATGTTTTGAAGAGGTTAAAAATCATGCATTAATAAACACAGCGAAATGCACAGGTTAAAACCCATGCATTTTCATTGACAGGTTGCACTAGACACAGTGAAATGGACAGGTTAAAACCCATGCATTTTCATTGGCCGTTTGCACTAGAATACAGTGAAATGGACAGGTTAAAACCCATGCATTTTCATTGACCGGTTGCACTAGACACAGTGAAATGGACAGGTTAAAATCCATTTATTTTTGTTGACCAGTTGCACTATACAGTCAAATGAAGAGGTTAAAAATCATGCGTCTTCGTTGACCAGTTGCACTATACATAGATGTTATGGTCCGGTTCCTTGTACCACGGTGATAGTCCAAGGTAGAACCAATAAAGAAGAACTCGAACACAGGTATGGAATAACACAGATATATTACAAACAGGAATATATACAGAGAAGTAGAAAGTGTTAGTACAAACAATCAGGTTTAGTAGAGAGAACAATGTAGTCTCGACCAGTATCACTATTCCAATGTCTTGTAGTAATTGTCTGAACGCGACTCTGTTTCGGACTGCCTCTGACTCGACTGACTGACTCGCTCGCTCTGACTAGCTGACAGACTCCTGACGGACTTCACTCCAGACTTCAGACTAAACAGTATTTAGTCACCCCACCACGAGGGCATCATGTGGCACAAGGCCGGTTTAACGTTGGATCTCCGAGCCCGTGGGCTCGGCCCAAAATATCCCCATTGAATCCGTATAAACGGGTTCAGGGTCGGTTTACCTCCCTGAAAGAGACACCGCCCTTCGGCGTTGCCTCGTTCGGGTTCCTCCCCGCCCGAAGGCAGAGAGTTCAACCGATCAGCCGGTCATCCTGTCGCCCGACTTCGGACTGATTAGTATTTAGTCACCCCCCACTCCCCACGAGGGCATCATGTGGCACAAGGCCAGTTTAACGTGGCATCTCTGAGCCCGTGGGCTCGGCCAAAAATATGCTCTTTGAACCCATATAAACGGCTTAAGGGTCGGTTTAGCTCCCCGAAAGAGACTCCGCCCTTTGGCGTTGCCTCGTTCGGGTTCTTCCCCGCCCGAAGGCAAACAGTTCAACCGATCAGCCGGTCGCCCGACTTCAGACTAAACTCCCTGCTTCCTCTATGAGGTGCAGTATTTATTACGTATGGAATAGTCCATTATGTTATTATGGGTAAGGTCCCATAACAATAGGTAAATTTAAATATAAATAATAATGTTTATCACTATAGGGTAACCAATACTCGCTGACCAGCGACAACAGCTGAAACCCGATTGCGCAACACAACAAAGAACACATTTAAGAAGTTTCTAGCAAAATAATGCAAAAGCAACAGATTTGTATACAGTATTTTTATACTTAGTATGCATTGAATTTTCATAATCCAAAGTATTTACATTATCTTGTGGTTCATCCTCATTATCTATAATCCTAACAAAAAGATTTGACATTTGAAAGGCAATATCTTGGTGATGTAAACATTTGCAAAAAGAAAATGAATGCAAATTTAGAAAAATATCTATTAATTTTTCCTTTGGCAAACATAGTCGATGAGATCTTTCTCTTCGTGTTGCGACAAAAAAAGAAGAAATTTAAACTGCGTAGTGAAAATGAGCTACCATAGTTAGCCATGAACGAAAACAAAAATATGTTATCGAAATCTTCGTATCAGATATTTTACGGTAAGTGGCTTTTCTCAGCATTTTGGGATAGCTTTATACAAAAAAGAATTAAGAATATTCATTTGCAATAAAATATATCCAGGATGATGCCCAGTACTGCAATATTTGACTACGGTAGGCTATTAGTATTACTTATTAGGTAGGCTATTAGTATTACTCAGAAGCTGAGGTCGCATTATACACAGGCTATTTGAAAACAATCAGGTTTTTCGAAAAAGATTCAGATGTCGCAGTTTACATGAAGTAGACTTATACACGACTTCATACGATTTTTTGGTTAAAAAGCAACTTAGACTTAATAAACATCTCTCATATATTTCTTTATACCGTATATGTTTCAAATGTGTTCCATATTCTATCAAACAAAAGTCAGTAAGTTATATGCCATGCGTGATACACGCTTAGGCGATCATGTATCTTTCGATACATGACTGACGAGGCAGATTTTTTTTTTACCGCAGTAGGTTGCCATTTCTTTCTATGGTAGACCAGCTGCCATCCAAAGCTATAAAACCCAGTCTGTCCTGTTATTTACCCATAGATAGAATGAGAAGAGGATTAATACCTTTCCCAAGGGTATTAGCACGTAAGTGAATGTAATGGATTCGACTGGAATTCGAACTCGGCTCTCCGATTCCTCAATCCAAATCTTCGTATTAAATATATTAAAGAAAGTGTTATACGGTAGGTCTACCATTATTACTCAGAAGCTGAGGTCGCATTATACACAGGCTATTTGAAAACAATCAGGTTTTTCGAAAAAGATTCAGATGTCGCAGGTTACATGACGTAGACTTATACACGAGTATATACGATTTTTTTCTAAGTTGGTTAAATAAGCAACGTAGACTTAATAAACATCTATCATAAATTTCTTTATACCGTATATGTTTCGATTGTGTTCCATATTCTATCAAACAAATGTCAGTAAGTTATATGCCATGCGTGATACACGCTTAGGCGATCATGACTGACGAGGCAGATTTTTCCCGCAGTAGGTTGCCATTTCTTTCTGCGGTAGACCAATTGCCATCCAAGGCTATAGAACCCGGCCTGTCCTGTTATTTACCCATCGATGGAAGGAGAAAAGGATTAATAACTTTCCCAAGGGTATTAGCACGTAAGTGAATGTAATGGACTCGACTGGAATTCGAACTCGGCTCTCCGTTTCCTCAATCCGAACCGCTATCTTCGTATTAAATATATCCAGGATGATGCTTTGTACTGCAATATTTGACTATGGTAGGCTATTAGTATTACTTATTAGGCAGGCTATTAGTATTACTCCGAAGCTGAGGTCGCATTATACACAGGCTATTTGAAAGCAATCGGAGTTTTGAAGAAGATTGAGGTTTCGCAATTTGCATGAAGTAGACTTATACACGAGTGGTTTTCCTCGGAAAAAGCGCAAAATAAAACTAACATTTTTTCCCTACTTCGCTGCTGTCGTAAAAAAATTTCGAACATGATAAAAAGGAGTAAAAAATTTCAAAAATATATAATAAAAATACTTTAGTCTTTCATCTTAATAATAGCATAAACATGTTGATGTCAAAACTTTGTTTTTATTTAGTTTGGGGACTTTTTTCATGCTATGCAGTTTTTTACGCGACCAAGTGGAGGTACCTACTTTATTCTTACTTCTGTTCTTGAAACATTAATTTTAACTTGGTACGACACAATGACACCTTTGATGAAAGATTGTGTACCACCAATCTCTTCTAAAAGTCACCTCGACTGGCCGACACAACACTCTTCATGGAAGTCTTCAAATGATCTGCCTGAAGACACAATGACACCTTTTATCGAAGATTGTATACCGCCAATGTCTTCTAAGGGTCACCTCGACTGGCCGCTTGATTTGACGCATTAATCTTCGTGGAGTCTGAGACAACGACACTCTTGATGGAAGACTGTATAATGCCACATTTTAAGTGGCTTCAAAGGATACGCCTGGCTGAGAATTAGTAATATTAGCCTGCTACGACACAATTATACATTTGATGGAAGATTGTATACCACCAGTGTCTTCTGAAGGTTAGTCCGAAGTCCTGACGGAAAATTGCGTAACACCAATTTTCAAAGAAGCTTCAAATAGTCCGTCAGCTTGGAAACTTGACTTGAAACATTTGCTATAGTGTCTTACGAGACAATGGCGTGGTAGATGGAAGATTGTATAGCGCTAATCTTCAAAATGATTTCAAAGGTTCGGCAGAAGAAGAAACTGTCCAAGTTCAAGACAATTTGTACCTATCTTCTATATGCTGTGTCCATTCATGGCTCTCCACAATTTCCTGATGTTTGTCATAGTGGGTATGACGATAAACTACATCCGGCAGCAAGGTCTCTGATCGGGAGGTTTTGAGGAGCGTGAAATCACCTCTTAATTTCTGGTGTGCCAAGGTAGCACCTGTTAGGGTGCCAGCTATGGACAATTACTTAACCTCCGAACTGGGGGCATAACACCATGAAAATTAAAAATAGGTTTTAATACCAGTAACATATTTCTGGAAAAAAATATTACCAGCAATACAATATTACCAGCAATACATTTCTTGTAAAAATATTGCCAGCAATAAGAATCTTGTCATGAAATAACCCTTTCAGGTACATATGGCGTAAAACAAACTAAACTAAACCTGTCATTTATAGCTCTTAATAACTTCTATCTTTTTGAAATCTCTTCAAAACCCTGCTCCACCATGGATTCATTTAATGTCGCAAG